TTTAATCCTGTTTACAATATTCAAGCAGAAAGCTTTTAAATTAAAGGTGTGTGCTAGGGCTGAGCCACACCACAGCTAGAAATAGGTTTTTCCAGTAAATAATGTAACCTCAAGGTTCACAGTATGATCAAATATCCTGCAGCACTGAAAGAGTCTCCAGACCCTGTGGAGGACTAGCTGCACAATGGTGACCCCAGAACTATTCAGGGAAAGAAAATTATCTTTGTCCTCATGATGCCCAATTCCCAGGACTGAGGCAAGCAGGGCTAAGTAGCTTGAAATCAATCCTGCATACTTTCTGGGGCACATCAATCAAACCTGATACCCCAAGTCAGTCCACAGGTTCTTGTTAGGATCCCAGACTGGCCCACTCAGCACTACAGCACCTGGGGCCACTGTGCTCATACCCAATTCTTGACAACCAGACCTAATATACAATTGTATGCACCTACTTCTAGTTGTTTGCTGAGACAGAAGGATAACACCAACTCAAGATCCTCCTGCCTCGGCTTCTGGAACACTGAGATTAATAGGCATATGCCACCACACCTGACATAAGTAGAAGATCATTTGTTTTCTTTTGGTGTGGTGCAGTGTTTTGGTTTGCATTGCTTTACTTTGGTTGGCTATAACCGAGGCTTGCCTGAAATTCACCATGTAGTCCAGACTGCTCTCAAACTCACAGCAGTCTTCCTAATTCATCCTCCCAAATGCTGGGATTACAGACATGGGTCACCACATCCATCTTACTTTTTAAAACCTTTTTAAATTTAATTATTAATTCTTTCTTTTTGAAGTGCTGGGGATGGAACCCAGGGCATTGCACATGTTAAACACATGTTCTACCAATGAGCTACACCTCCAGCCATTGTGAATCATTTTAAACAAATATATAATTCACATACCACAGAGTCACCCTTTCAATGTGTATAATTCAGTGGTTTTTACAGTACTTTAAGGTTGTACAAGCATCACCTTTCTCTATTTCTAGAACATGTTAATCACTCCCCAAACGTTTTATCCTTTAAGCAGTCATTTCCCACCCCCTTCCCCTAATATATATATATATATATATATATATATATATATATATATATATATATATATATAGTATCTGAGAAAATGTGACATTTATCTTTTCCCCATTACCTTCTCTTTTTCTTGCCACATTACTACTCCCCTACCTCTTCCCAACAATCCTGGTTTAGTATCATGTCATACAAATATAAATTTAACACGCATACATATGTAGACTCAGCATATGAGAGAAAACATTTGAGCATTTGTCTTTCTGAGTGATTTATTTTGCTTAACATGATGATCTCCAGTTCTACCCACTTTTCAGCAAGGAATATATTTTTTTCTTGTTCACAGATGAATAACACTCCATTGTGGGGCTACTAAGATGTTTCAGTGAGTAGAAGTACTTGTCATCAAACCTGATGACCTGAGTTTGATCCCTGGGACCTACATGATGGAAGAAGAGAATCAACTAAAGAAAGTTGTCCTTTGACTCCCACATGTGCACTGTGGTATGTGTGTGCCCCCACATACACACCCCACTAATAACAATAATAATAATAATAATAATAATAATAATAATAATAATAATAAATGTACCACATTTTCATTAGCCATTTGTCAGTTGATGGGCATCTAGACTGATTTCATACAAGGATATTGGGAATAGTATAGTAACAAATATGGTATGGAGGTATCTTTGTGGTCTGTTAACTTACAGTCCTTTGGTTATATGCACAGAAGTGGTAGAGCTGAATCATATGGGAATTTTATTTGCAGAATTTGAAAAACCTCATACAGATTTCCACAGTGGATGCACCAGAGCTCATTTCCATCAATGGTGACTAAGGTCCTCCCACATCCTAATCAGCACCATTCTAACATCAAGCAATTTAAATTTGCATTTCCTTGAAGACTCAGGAGGTTGAACATTTCCTCAAATATTTATTAGCCATTTCTATTTCTTCCTTTGAGAGCTGTCTATTTACTGATTGGATGGTCCTGACGGCAGTAAGATGGAATTACAAAGTGGTTTGAGTTGCATGTGTTCCTCATTGTCCACTGCTTTTCAAGACTGCAACAGGTCACTATGTATGTCAAGGGGCAGAGCAGGTCACAGTGTCAACCTTCCCGGGTTGATACACTAGTATGTGTGATGCACTATGAGTCTGGCTCATGGCAGGCCTTCCTAAAGTATAGGCCCTGTTAAGACTCTTACCCACATACATAGCTAAGGTCCTTCTCCCTGGTCCTTACAAGAACAACTTCCCACACTCTGGGCACCTTCAGATGACACACCTGCCCTCAGAAGATGTTTCAGAAGCAGTAAGATACACATTGAAGCTAACTACCTTATGTCTTTAGAGAGTGACTTTTTTGGCGGGGGCTGGGGGGGTTGCGGTTCAAGACAGGGTTTCTCTGTATAACAGCTCTGGCTATCCTGGAACTCACTCTGTAAACCAGACTGGCCTCGAACTCACAGAGATCTGCCTGCCTCTTCCTTCCAGGTGCTGGGATTAAAGGCAGGTGCCACCACCACCCAGCTGAGAGTGACTTCTTAACCATCCTTTCAACTTTGGGGAGCTAAAACCTGTGTCTACTTCCTAGGGACTTTACACTTTATCCCCAGATGTGCTTCTGGGACCTTTTGCATGCCTGCTGAGGTTGAGACACAACCCATTACTGAGGACCAGGAACAAGAATAAAGAGACACTGGCAGAGCTCTCTGGACTACACTACAGAAAAGCTGGGTCCCTACCTTCAAAACAAAGCTACTTCTGGTTCAGTGTTCTTAGGTCAAACAAAACAATACAAAAAGATCACAGGGTGGCACTCTTATCTGGGTTGAACCCTAGTAAAGTCTTCTGATATGTGACCACAGTCCCCTTACTTGAAAGCAAGGATAATATCTAATCTGAACAGTTGTGGTGATTTGAACAAAGATACATGCTAGGTATAATGGTGTATAACTATCGGCCCAGATCTCAGGAAGCAGAGGCAGGAGGATCCAGGAGTTCAAGGCCAGTTTTGGATATATAGCAAATTTGGTGCTACAAAATTGGGCTACATGAAACCCCATGTTTAAAAAGAAAGAAAGGAAGGAAGGTAGGTAGGTATATTTTATACATGGCACACAGAAAGCACCCAGGAAATGGTAGCTGATCTAAGAAGGACACATTCCTGGGTCAAAGACACCTTTGTGATTGTTAGTCATTATATGGACTGATTGAACAGGTTTAGAGAACTCATTTTCAGGAAGCCACTGAAGGTTAGAAGTAGGGCAGCCTCCAGGTCTAAATTAATTATGCCCAGTGTTTTAAGATGGCTACTGTGGAGTCATAGAAGCCTGGGAGCAAACCCAGCTGCCAACTAATCACTGTATGACTTCACCTCTACAAGCTTCCTCAGTCTCTCTGAACTCAAAGCAGGAAAACCTGAGGCTTGGCCATTTATAGTCTAGTTTCACAACCTCCATGTCATAAGATGCAATTATCTAGCATGCAGGGTTTCATGTTCCAGTTCCAGCAAAGGAAAAAAAGCCACATTTGTAGTCTCGGGCATCTCCTGCAGTGTTTGGAACATAGCCCTCAAGGATAAAGTGGGCTACTGGATACTTTTCTCTACAAAAGCCCATTAGATAATAAAAATTTTATCCCCGAATGGAAACTGAAAAAAATTCATCAACTCTTTATCCTTGTGACTGCTTTTCTTCTTTCCATAGAAGTCTATCACATAGATCTGATGTTGGTGCTGGTTTTCTCCCTCTACCGGGTTGTTGCTGAGACTGAAGTCTTGGCTTTCTTCACTCTCTACATCATCAGTTCCTAGAGCCCAGACTGTCCATATCTTTGTAGCTTGCTATAAGAGTCTTCTTGTAGCAATTCCTGCAGGGTTGCCCTTAACCATTTCTGCATCTTTTGCATAACTTCCTGGGCTAAGAGTTCTCTTTGCTAATGTTCCTTATATGTGACATAAATATTATTAGGACCGAGTTTTGTCTGCCTAAGTCTGTTTTTTTCATGGTTAGAAATTCCTTGATTTTCAGAAAGCTCAAAGCACAGTTCCTGCTCGGTTACAATTACAGCATTTTCTTGAAGCCGTTTTACGGTTTTGTTTTGTTTTTTTCTGTGATATGGAGACGGGACATAAATAAATGTAAGAAGACTCTGCTGGTGCATGTTTAAGATCCTATTTCCACGCACAGACTGTATTTATCAAGAGAATATGCTACTCAGACTTGAATGTGTTTGCAAATTACCCTGGGATCTGGTTATTACACTAAAAAAAACACTGAATCTGACTCAGTAGGTCAGGGTGTGAGATACTGCATTTGTAACAAGACCCCAGGTAATGACCAGGTGGCTGGGCCTGGTGCACAAATTGAGTTGCACAAGGTGAAAGAAACTTGTTCCCTTGATTCAGCACAATTTCTGTGTCCATCTCCTCCACAAAATATGACCATATTCTCTAGAAGTGTAGGGACAGACACCAAAACCATGGAAAGGCGCTAATAAGACCTACAAGTTACCCCCACTCACCCCCGCCCCATTTTTGCTCTGTCCCTGCTCCAACCCCACTGAGATCTTGATGAAATTGGCCAGGAAGTCTCCTGGGAAGCTCTCCAGATGCTTTTGTTGCAGATGGCCTCATAGCCAAATTTCAAAATGACTGCTTTTTCCAAGGTACAACCCTGGGGACAGCTGTTGTCACCAATGGTGGCATCTGCTTGGCCAGGATTTTAACATCCTAGTGTTCTAAGACCAGCATTAAGAAGGGTACCATGACTCATCTTCGACTATACAATTCACAGTGGGTTCAGTCCCAGAAGCCTCAGACCCTCACCCCTAGGCCGAGAATTACTAGGTCGCCTGATGCCCCCACTTCAGGCCGACCAGGCAGGGGCAGGGCCGCTCATGCGCAGAGCGACCCCCAGGCCACAGGGCCGGGTCCCTGGGTGCCCCAACCCGTGCCCACCTTACCTCTCTGGACCAGGGTGGCCAAGGAGAAAACGAGGCAAACGAGGAAAGCGGTGCGCCAGGCCACCATGGCTAGGAGCAGGCGCAGGGGCCCGGAGG